CTACTACTATTACTATTATTATTATTTTCACTACTACTACTACTATTACTACTATTATTATTAGTATTACTATTAGTTTTACTACTGCTAGTATTATTTCTACTACTACTATCACTACTGCTAGTACTACTATTACTACTGCTAGTATTACTGCTACTACTACTATTATTACTGCTACTACTACTACTATTACTACTACTACTGCTACTACTATTACTATTGCTACTACTACTATTATTATTTCTTATATGTAAACAATCACCTCATGCCGAAGCAATGCGTGGCAAGAAATATTTGAGGAGCGTAAACAAAAGATACGTGAATGAATCCCCAAGTTCCTTGAAAACACTCGATCCGGAAAGAATGAAAGAGAATATAGAACAAAACGTTGTTTTTCTTTCGACGACGGTTAGGGTCCTTCTTCGCGCAGCATCATCGTCGCGTAACCATGACTCTGGTCGAATGCGTTTCTAAACGTGGAAGGTCACGTCTCGGTCTCCAACAGGTTCAACAGATTTTCAGCTAACAATACCAGTATCAAATCAAAAACAAAAACAAACAATCAGACAATATCCTCACATCGAACTCACCTCTGACAAAGGGAACCTGCTAATTTTCAAATATATATATATATATAAATTAGCAGTTCTCTTTGTCAGAGGTGAATTTGATGTGAGCATTTTGTTTGATTATTTATTAAAAACTATTATTATATAGTATATATATAATAAGAATATAATAATATTTATAATAAATAAGTAGTATACTATATAGTAGTATATATCTAGTAGTAGCATATATATATCTTCAATAAAAACAGTCAATAGATTTACCTAAACGTGCCATTTTATAAAACGATCATACGCTGCGTTTACAAACGCGTGATCAGCGAATCGACAGTTTTATCGTCGACAAACGTCTCATCGGTATCTCTGGCAAACAATATAAACGATACCACACCGGTGCCGAAAGTTTACCGGGGAATGTCCCCTCGGCCGGGCACGGCGTATTTTCAGCGATTTAGCCTTTTTGATCGATCGAACCGAGGAGAACCAGTTCATCGCGAAAGGTGGTTGCTTACGTCTGAGGAAAATCACATCTGCAAATAACAGATACGTGATAGGTGCGTGCGTGCGCACGAGATCACGTGGACGCGGGTACTATGAATCATTTACAATGTCTGTTTCGCAACGCGCCGTCGAAAAGGCTGCAGTCTCCGTTTCCAAGAACTCAAGTGTCTTCGGGATGTTCCGCTCATTATCGTAAACCGGCGTTATTCCATCTTCGACTCGCGCACCCCGCTCGATCGCGCCACTAATTTCAGCCTGTAAATAAACATCAATCTCGATCCTATTCGAGTTCGATCCGGTTCCGAAAATCATCGATAACCTAACATCTCGCCTGGAGACAATTTCCATGACCATCAATAACCGGGCCCGTAATGACCGTCATAGTCATAACGAGCGTATTTCCCGAGATTATTGTCTGAGGAATCTTTTCTTCTCGCATTCCTCGGTCGTATTGCTCTTGCAGTTACATTGTGTCCGCCAACGACGTCTGTTAATTCTGTTGTTCATTTTTTTTCTCTCTCTCTCTCTTTCGTTCTTTTTCTTCGAGTTTTTGTATTTATAATATAACCTCTATTTTCGTATTATTCTCGTCGGAAATTCAACGCGATCGCTCGTAACGGCGCGACGCTGTTTTAAGCGGCGATACGTAAGTACCCGACGGCTATTTTGCATTTTTTATTACGGTTAGCGTGTGTCCGGCGAGTCGCGGCGGCAGCGCGGTGATCGCGGAGAGCTTCCGAGAAATGAAAAACGATTTCCATAAGCGACAGAATTTCTTCGGTCTATTCCCATGAAGGAAAAACTTGTAAACCGGGAATCCTCGCTGTGCGTCGACTCTTTCGACACACGTATAATTAATTGCACGGGATTGCAACGCAATTCCGTCCGTTGTGTACGAAGGCTTGACTAAATGATTCCATAAACAGCCGCGGCCACGCGTCACCTTCGTCGGTTGGACAAGGATGGGACGATCGTGTTCTCGCCGGCTATATTCTCCTCGCATATCCGAGATGCCTCCGATAAATCTTTTTTTTTTCCATAAACGTCCAATGAAATATTCATAAAGCGTCCGTGGGCGGTTGAATACACAGAAATCGAAGAAAATTTTGTCGCGGGAAATTAACGCGACGACCGTCGGCCGTAAGGAACGGTATTAACACGTATCCACGGGAATATTGTTGCTACAGTGGTTAACGACTAGGCGTTAAGCGTCGTTGTACACGTTACGTCTTTTATACATAAGTTCGCTGGCTGAAAAAGAGAATAAAATGATCGTAGGATCAGGCGTGTGGCGATGGATAGATTGAAGGTGATCGAACAAATTGAACATTACATGCTGTGAAAAAAATTCTGTAATTCGCTTGTGTATCTCGTTTTTTTTTGTTTCTTTTTTTTCATTTATAGTCGTTTCCACGATTGTGTGACGTAGTCAATAATGTCGATATCAAACAGATAATTACACGCTCCGATTGTAAAATATGATTGAATTCGTATGATTTAAAATAGACATTTTCTTTAAAACTTCTATAAAATTAGGTCAACCGTTACACTATTATTTTTTACTGTCGTCCGACGCCATCTGCGACGCGAGGTTCGCAAATTTCGCCATGTAATCCACGCTGTTCTCGCCCATTAGACACTGCATATGCGAGACAACCTGAAATGAGTAATAGAACAAGCGATCTGTGAATGTGTATTGATAGAGAATTGAAATAAATTGATTTATGGTATTTACGTCTGACGATGGACGAGTATCTTCTACGTGGTCGCTGTTGTGGCTCCGCTGTGAAATTTTCATGGGGGATTCGAGCTGCCCTAAGAAACTACTTAAGGAAAAATCTGCCACCTACAATTCAATTTAGTATAATTGTTATGATATAATAAACGACGCGTTGCTTGGACGAAAAATATTCACTGAGAAGCTGAAACATTACCTCGCTGTTCAACCATTGGTGCTCCCCTTCCTTAAGAATTTGCGTAGCACTGGTTATAATCGAATTCGTCGGTTTCGAGTCCCTCGCCACTTCGAGTTCATCCAAAAAGATTTTCTCCGGTGTCACGCTGATATGTATGGACGGCTGTTTATCGTTTTGTTGCTCGTTGTTACTTAAAGGTGCATCATTTGGTTTGCTAGTCTCTTGGGAATTTGTCGTTATGTCTTCTGGCGTGTTACTCGACGCAGATATTATCGGTAATACCCTTTGCACGACGAGACTCTTTTGCCTTACGGTTCTTCCCCTTTTACAGAAGCGCGTCTTGAACTTCTATATTCCATGAAATACGATATTATTTGAAAAGATGAATTTATTTTCTTGAGAATAGTGAATATGTTTAATGGCTCACATCCAGCTGTGTTTTAAATGCATCGGGTGTACCAATTTTATGGTAGGTTTGCGGAATGAGAGGTCTTCTGAAGGTTGATTCCTTTGTTGAAAGCATGCGAGATGAAATTACGGTTTCGTTGCTTCCAGAAGTGTTATCGTATACCTAAACATGAATTATAATTAGTTTATTTTATGAACTGTATCGTTAAATATGAAATTTCAGAGTTTTATCTTACTTTGCTATTCCCATAACTGTGCTTCGCTATTGATAACAATTTTTGCAAAGTCAGACATAGACTCTCATCTTGCAGAGTACAAGATGGAGACTCTCCGGTGTGCTGTTCTCGTGGATGCCAATCCCACCAGTATTCCAGAGTAATTTTTGATTCACGACCGAACTGAAAAACTTGGAAAATTAGAAATGATGCATTTCTATGAACTAAATATATTTGCTGTTGAACACAATTTGGAAGAAAATATATGTACCATCAAAAAGAGGTCTCCTACAGTGATAGTGTTTGCTTCCTCAACATTCCATCCCTTTCGTATTCTTTCAATGGTTTCCCTTCCTGGGAATCTATTCGGTTCAGTTGGCTGTTGTTCTGTAGACGATTTTTCTGCAACATTAATTATCGACGCTTTTTCTGAAACACTGCTGCCGGATTCTATCAGATCTACGTCACTGTTGCTATCTGGGAGCATACAATTGTCTTCTGATTGATTCACAGACTTTTTGTCTACTTTGGTCCTCTTGATTCCTTTCTTTCCGACACCTTTTAAATCTTGTACAGATCCTAATAAATCCAATCTAGAACTTTTTAGTCCCAGACGGTTTTCATAAGAATTTAAGCTGACACTGTTACTGGTGAGGTATTCGCCAAGATTTACCATTGGTAAAGTAATTTTGCAACCCTCTATTGGTGCTACTCGTAACAACCTGGTATCTTTCATTTCATTTGTGATAGTATTCTCTATGTTAGAGGACTGTAATACATGTATAGGAGTTTCCTTGACAATTTATAATGAAAATGGCTTAATATTGATAATATATTTTGAAATAAGGATACTGTGTTGTATTTTGCAGGCCTCCATCTTTGTTGCAAAAATATTAATAAACTGGACAACCGTCTTTGTATAGGTAACAAAGTTCTTACTCTTGGATTCATGGATGATGCTTGTACTTGCCACCATGCCATATTATTACGGGGTCTTAATTCAATTGTTATTCGAGATGGCAGTTTGATTTCTTCTTGCCAATCTACAAATTAATTAAAATCGTCAATAATACATTCTTAATTATTTAGGACATATTGTGTTATATTTAATGCTCTCAATGTACCTTCCAACTGATTCAATTTTCTTAATGCTCTACATATAGGAGTCTTAATTCTCATAGTTTTTCCCCTAAGTCTAACTTGTGTTGAGCCCCAGTAGACTAGTTCATTTAGTTTCAAATGTACTTTCTCATGTATCCTAGGTAATTTCCTTCTAAGCTCGCCGTAATTAATTAAACCATACAACTCTTGGGAAGTTTTCTTCAGATCTTCAAATAAAATATTTTAGTATTAATTCAAACAGACAAAGTGTAAAGTTACTTTAGATGATTACCTTCCGAAAATTTCAAGTGTTTCGAAATTTTCAGCCATGTTCTATAATAAAAGTGCCTAATCTGTTCTTTATTTTTTATCATGATATCCGGCAAACCCTTCTTCTTCCCTTGACACAAGAAATAACTCTGAAGAGCATCAAAGTCTTTCCCATATTCGTTTAAAGCTTTGAAAAAGGTATTCTTGTCTTCCATGGACCATAATTCGCAAGATCTCTTCAAGGCTCTTACTTTAACATCTGCATTAATTTCCTCATCCTTGGTATCTAAAAACAATTGCATATGAGAACCTACATATTCATCGCTTCGCCATCAATACATGTATTTATCTTTTACAACATTGTTCTCTGTAACCTGAATAAATATACATCCGTAATCAATTCATTAATCCACTAGCAAGGTTAAACCCTATCTCATCAACATAAGAATTCTTTTTTTACAAAGTTCCAAGCGAAACTTTATCTCGCGTATGACTCAATAAGCCAAAGAGAGACATTGTTATCACGCGAGGAAGTAAATACAAATGAAACGGTACAAAGTCAAAGGATATGAACCTTTCTTCTCTGGATTATTATTGTCGCTAATGTCCAGCTTCATTTTTTTAGTGCCCCTGACAACACGAACTTGAGTGTTCTTGGTGTCTATGACCACCTTAGCATCAGAACAATTCTGTACACTCTGGGGCGCGTTTTCCTCCTTCTTGGTCCCCGAGCTGGTTCCCGGACTCTCGCACTCATCGTTTTTCGCATTGCTCTCCATAATGATATCTTCGACGAGTCAGTGAACCACTGACAATCTCATAAGCCCGAACTCTCCTCATGTGTCCTGAGTGTTGAAACTTATCAGGGCAGGTAGCAGCAGCACGCCGATCGACAACATTCTCAGTCGCCGAAGAAAAACACGTCCGCCGCGTATCACAACATCCGTATCATTATTTTTCGGTGAACTTGTATTGGAAATCTGTGCTACAATATGCACGACTGAATTAATCGGTGGATCGGTTCGTCGTGGAATCAACACGATTTTCGTTTCACCTTTGACTCGTGATCGTCGTTCCGTTCCTAAGTAGATACGCGCGAACGCGAATCTCCCGAGCCTGTATCTGCCGAAGATTTTACAGAATTAATTCGTTCCACGGAAACGTTCGTCCAGCGAGTGCGGAAAGCCGCGTGATATTGGGACTATTTAATGGTGAATTTTCGAACAGATACGATCGGTATGCACCTCGCACTGTGCGTTCTACGAACTGCAGTTTCGAGCGTGTTTCGAAGCAGATTGGATGCCTGGACGATAGGAAATCTTTCGATGGAAACATCGCTGGACGCGTTATTTTATAATAATAAATAATAATATCGTCGAATTACTGGTTCAATCGTAGCGGAGGTAACGATAATTCATCGAAGCGTCCCCAACGAATTCGAACATTTTCAGTGGTCGTATTGCGTAGTAGACTCTTGGCAAGAAAACATTCGAATCAGAGATTTAATCGTTGACCAAGTCGACTCGAAATTTTGATTAAATATGGATAAATTCACGGTTTAGATAAAATGCTTCGAGTTGAAAATTATGAAAACGAAAATTTACTATTTGTCGGATGGACATGAGAATTTGGATCATGATGGGAAATTTTATTTTAACCGAGCAAGTAGGTACCTGGCAACTATGTCATTGTGTAAATGTTACGATAAATTTATATTATTATACTTCTCGTTACTCATTACTCGAACTGGTATCTCGAGCATTCGTGAAAGGTTATTCTAACCCATACTCGACTACGAACGGATATTATTTAAACAATGTACAGATTAACCCCTTCAAAGTGGGTATAGTCAATATTTCTTTAATAAAGCGTGCTAGGCATATTTTAAATTCAATTCTATTGAATTTTAGTCGATAATTTGTAAAACATATATGTATATGTATATATACATAATGAAAATAATTTACTATAATTTGTTACGGATAGAAATTAAGTTACACGTCGACAAGTGCGTCGAGTAAATTTCACGTTACAGAGAAACGAATTTATTTTGGGGTTACGCTTAGAAGCCCTTTTACACGTTACGTAGTTCTCAGCGTCGAGTTGGCGAGCCAGTGATCGAAATTTGATTTTCATGGTCGCAAACGTAGAACTGTTATTTTATTCTAAAATAAGAATCAACGTAGCGACAACTCCCAGAGTTTAAAATATCCAATTTTTCATCGAATCGGAATACAATTGTCATTCGGGGGATAAGAGGCAAAACTCCATTGACAAAATGGTGCAACGTAGGTAAACGCGACAACGGTACTTTTTCACGTGTAAACATAATGGTTTTACGTAACCGACGTTAAAATAACCGTGCACAAAACGGTATTTCAAATACGATATAAAAATCGACGAAATAAAAACGAAGAAATGATTTTCGCGCTGCATTGGCGCTGGCAATGCTTCTGCGAGAAGTGCAACGCCAGGCCAATGAGAGGACGGATAGGTTGTTGCACGCGACCAATTGCGGATTTCCACTCACTTGCACGCAGAAAGTTGCACCAATGTTGGTTTCCAATCTAAATTAATTATTTTCCGGAACGTTGTTCGTGGGCAGTGGCCTTGATAGGAAAACCCGATTCTGTCCGAGCAGTGTACTTAATTAATAAATCGATCGATCCGCTTGAAAAAAAGCGATCCCCCGGCCGTTGACCGACGTGTCAGCCTTGATGGAGCCAGCGACAACTGTGTGGAACTTAGTGATGGGGCTGCTGTAATACGGTGGTTTAGGTCGCGCGTGTTATGCACTCGTCAAATTGTATCGCCACCCCGGTTTCGATAACTATAACCTTGAGTGTATTCACTATTGCGGGACTACGTCAAAGGTGACAACGGGCCAAGAGTATTCGGCTTTATTCGACTCTAAGCAACTGCGCAAGGGGGGCGCGAGGTGTCGGTGACAAGGTGTAACTTAACCTTAAAATGCGAGCATCCGTGATCAGCAATGTGATTGTACTGTTCGGGCTGCACATTTTGTATTGGTGTTGCAACGCGGTTGACGCGAGCGGCGGAGCCCTCGACGCGAGCCCGAACTTCCAGCCCAGCTCCTCCGGAAGCTCACATTCCAAACTCTCAGCATTCTCCGCCACTCTGACCGATGGACTGGCTCAGGCTGTGGCTCAAGAAGCTGGTAAATTTCCCCTTAATAATATGTCTAATGTTCTCATCGTTGTACCGACATTTCTGATTTTACATTTATCGTGTGTCGTCCCCTAACTGGTCGCCCGATACATTCATCGAATCATTCATTCGTTAGATCTTGTGCAATGCTTCTAAACGTTTCTGTATCTTGCGTTCATACTCATGATTGGGTTTCATAGAGATGATACTGAGTTTCGTGGGGATGTATTCGGAATCCATTGTTTTGTTTCATTATTCTCATGTAAAATATATGGTGTTTGCTTCTAGCGTGAATAAGTGTTCTTTGGTTGTCTGTTTTGAAGTAAGTTTTGTTTCAGTTGAATCGTTTCGTCGATGGTGTAAGCATGAAGGAGACAAATGTGTTTATGATATGAAAAAATTAATATAATGAGAATCCGGTATCCTATTCGTTCGACAATAAAAGAGTTGTACTAATAACATTCGTATTAACAACATGTGACTGAGTTAATGCAATTAAACGAAAGGCTTATTGTGCGTAATTGACTAAAGAAATGCGATCTTAATCGAGAGACATCCGTGATAACAGATTAAATGTGATCATAAACACATACAATCAAACGTAGGCTATTTAATTTATTACAGGTTCCGATACTTGTAACGATGACCTAGCTTGTCTCACAATGGCTTCTCATGATCGACTAGGTTTAGAAGCTATCAAATCGCTACACAGTCAACTAGATGATGATGCCAATGGAAATGTAGACCTATCAGAATCAGATGATGTGAGTGTGTTGTTGACCTTTCACAATGTATGATATATTTTAAAGAATTGGAATGTTATATCTTCTTTGTAGTTTTTAAGGGAAGAATTACAATATGAAGCTGGCTATGAGAGAAGGCAGAGGGCATTCCATCATAATGATGATATGCACATCAGTGTTAGAGAACTTTGGGAAGCCTGGTTAAGGTCAGAGGTACTGTTGGCAAACATGTATTCATTTGTTTACTGATCTGCAGAAAATTACTTTTCCAATTTATTTCTTTCTAGGTCCACAATTGGACTATAGAGCAGACATCAGAATGGTTGTCTACTAATGTAGAGCTTCCTCAATATGTTCCTACTTTTATACAACACCGTGTAACTGGTGCTACACTTCCAAGGTTGATGTTTGATAAACTACATAGTGTTTCTCAATTTCCATGCCCCACACGACACTTCATATGGAACTGTTTATTTTTCAGGTTGGCTGTAAACAATATGCACTATCTAAACAATGTTTTGGGAATTAAGGATCCCATTCACAAACAAAAGATTGCCTTAAAAGCTATGGATGTAGTTCTCTTTGGACCACCAAAAGGTACAAGGAATCATTCAACAGTGTTGTGTATGTTGAAAGATTTTCCTTACTAATTTTATCATTTAATTGTAGATACTGGTCATAGCGTCAAAGATTTGATATTGATAACATTATTATTTGGAGCACTTATTGGCTGCTGGTACGCGTATCAGCAGAAAAAGAATTCACAGAAACATCTTCACAGAATGATGAAGGACATGGAGAGTTTGCACAAAGCTGAACTGGCACTCGAAGACCTGCAAGTATGTTATCTTCTTGCACTGTTATCTATCTGTTACTCAAAATATTGATCGAGTCGATTACTATCTTCGTGTATTACGGTTTACAGAAAGAATTGGAAAGAGCACGAATGGAACAAGAAAGTGCTGCAACGGAGAAACAAAATCTAGAAAAACGTTTGCAAGATGAAAGTATGGGATTACATGCTTCTTACTCGGATCTTGAGGTTTCACAGTTGAAAGCAGAAATTGAAGTAAATATCATACAATCCTTTATTATTAGAATCACTAATTATTTTCCTCGAAGTTTAATAAATTTTCACGCGTTACAGATGTTGAAAGCTCAGTTACAACGCGCGGAAGGTGAACTGGAAGATAGATGTTGGTCCCCACCTCCAGGGCTGCAGCATTGGTTACAGTTAACTCATGAAATTGAGAACAAGGCGTACTCGAAGAAGAAGATATCCGCGGAAAAACAATTGCAACAAGCACGAGAGGCTGTAAGATATTAGCATTTAATTTGCATTTAATTTGCATTTAATATTTCTGTGCCGGAGATCTTTATATTATTCTTTTCATGTATGTCACCAGTGCGAAAAATTGCGAAAGAAACGATCGAGCTTAGTGGGGGCCTTTGTTTCAACACACGGGAAATCAATTGACGAAGTTGACAAAAGTATCGTCGAAGCAAGGACTGCGCTGAACGAAGTCACCGCGGAACTGCAGGAAAGAGTGCACCGTTGGAAGCAAATCGAGCTTCTTTGTGGTTTTAACATAATCAACAATAATGGTCTAACCTATTTAGAAGCTGTTCTCTACAGAGGAACACCTAACGGCAGAGGTCTTGGACTAAGAGGTATTTAATTGGAGAATAATTATTAAAGATTAAGATTAAGATTTGTTAGACATAGAATACTGATCAAATAAATAATGGTGCATTGCCAGTGTATTTTTTAATAATACATTTGTAGGGTTTTAAAGTGTCTTGGTTAGGTCTTTGAGGAATGAACTTCAGTTTGTATTACAGTATTGGTTTGATAACATGACAGTTTGGAAGTAACATTCCAATCAAGCTCTATTAGTGAATTCCGACTCGGTCACAGTAAATTAATGTGAATAATCGTCTATAATTGATGATTGTAGGTCGACTCAGTAGCCAAGATGACTTAGATGACGAAACAAGCTCAATGTACTCGCCTTCCACATGCGGTGCCGCAGGTAAGCCGGAAACGGACTTCCAAGAGCATTTAGATTGATATGCTCAATTTGTATATTCTACTGTAACTTTATATAAAACTTAAGTGCCCGTGTATCTACCATTCTATCTCACGTGAATGATGCCTTCAAGAACGATAATTTACTAACTCGTTTGTCTTCCTAGTAGTAATTTGGGTTTTTTTTTGTGAAATTAATTTTCCTAAATAAACCTCTGTATGAAGTAGGTGCTCGTACAAATTAAGCGATCATTCGTACACTTGCACAGATGGAATTTGAAGTTTTTATGGAAGTTCGACATGTAAAAAGTTTGTACAAAATTGCAGGGAAGAGTATGAATTTTTTATAAAAATGTTTTAGATTGAATTTTGTATAAATTTTGAACTTGCACTGTTAAAAGATTCCCAGAAAAGGTTGCCTTACAATTCTCTGACACGCAATGTGGGGAAAACTGTTTTCCATGAATATAACGTGTACAATTTAAATTATTGATATAAATTTAATAATGTACTTATTATTTCTATAAAGGAATAATTAAAAATATCTGTGGAGGGTGCCAATGATACTGTAAATTTAGATAGTTTATGTCACACATTACAGGAAAACTTGTATTTTGCTATATATATTTGTTAAACAAAGTTTTTCATGATGGATATTACTAAAATTATTTTTTATAAATTAAAAAAAACATGTACATATAAATGTATATAAATTGA